ATTACAGGCATGTGCCACCATGCCCAGTCTCAATCACTGTCTCAGCACACCCCAGGGGCAGGGCCAGCATGGCAGGTCAGGGATCGAACCCTGGCCCCTGTGCCTGATTGCAGACACTTTAATCTGCTGAGCTATTTGGCCGGCCCTGCTACCTGATCTTTGATAAAGGGGCCAAACACTTTCACTGGGGAAAAATAGCCTCCTTCAGCAAATGCTACTGGGGAAACCGGCTAATCAAATTCCAGAGTGAACCTAGACCCATATTTCACTGTCTGTTAACAAAGTCACAAAGTGGCTATATGCTCTGCTCAGGGCAGCTAAGATCTGAATGTGTTATATTCCTGCCAGACAGAGCCACCTGTGGTACGTGCACGACTGTTCCACCAGTGCCACTGAGTGACACAAGCTTCCCAATGGGACAGTCACGCATGTACCACTGGTGGTACGAGCCAGAGGGAATGTGTTAAGCTAAAATAAAATGGAACAGAGATTTACATATTAAAATGAAACAATGAAGCAATCCACTGGTGGACAAAATATGTAAAACTCTTGAAGACATATGTTGTGTGTGTGTGTGTGTGTGTGTGTGGTACTGGGGATTGAACTCAGGACCTTGTGCATGCCAGGCAAGTGCTTATTCCACTGAGCTCTCTCCCCAGCCCACTTGAAGACATATTTGTAGAGAAAGACTTTCTGAATAGAATCCTGGTTGCACAAACAATAATACCAAGAATCAACAAGTGGATCACACCCAGTTAAAACACTTCTGTTCGGGGGCTGGTGAGATGTTCAGTGGTCTAAAGCACCTACTTAGAACAAGCTTAGCAAAGCACAGGGACCACGGTTCAATCCCCCAGCACCACATGCCAGCCAGCCCCGCCCCCTGGTGGGCTGAGCTGGCCACACACACACACACACATTTAAAAAACAACAACAACAACAACAAAAAAAAAAACACTTCTGTACAGCAATGGAAACCAACAGAGTGAAGAGCCAGTCTACATAATGGGAAAAATATCTTGCCAGCTACTCCTCAGACAAAGGACTCACATGTAGAGCCTATAAAGGACTAAAAACACTCTTGAAAGCCTCAAATTTAAAGACCCAATTAAAAATAGGTGTCTAAAGTGAATAGACTCTTCTCAGATGAAAAGTGCAAGTGGCCAGTAAAATACATGAAAAAAATGTTCCATGTCACTGGCCAGTTAATAAATGCAAACTCAAACAACACTGAGATTGTATCTTACTTCGGAAAGAATACTTACTCCATCATCAATAAATCAACCAATAGCAAATGTTGGAGGCCATGGGGAAAAAGGTGCCCTTCGTCATTGCTGGTGAGTTTGTAAGTTGGTACAATCACTATGGAAATCGGTATGGAGATTCCTTTTTTTTTCTTTTGTATTTAACACAGCGTCTACAGGGTCTTACTACACAGATCAGACTCGTAGTGATTCTCCTGTTTTTAGCCTCCCAAGTGCTGGGATTACAGGCGCGCACCACCACGCCCAGTTTCATTTGTCATCTCAGTGCGCCCTGGGGCGGGGCCGGCACGGCATGCCAGGGATCAAACCTGGGTCCCTGTGTCTGCCTAAGCAGGTGCTTTAATCCACTGAGCTATCTGGCTGGCTCTTGATTCCTTGAAAAGAGAAATTGTACTTGACCCAGGAATTCTCCTTCTAGGTATCTTCTCAGAAGAGATAAAGATATCATATCCTAGTGACATGTACACACGTATTTTTAAGGCTAAATCTTGGGAATGGCCTATTTGCCTATCAACAGATTAATGAATAAAGAATTTATTCACAATGGGGTACTACTGTGTCATAGAGCAGGATAAAGTAGTCATTTATAGGAAAAGGGCTGCACCCTGAGACCATGACATTAGGGGAAATAAATCGGACATATAAGTGTAACTCTCACATGGGTTCTATGAAGAATTCAGCATAGAAATGACATGCAAAATAAAAGACAGACAAGGGGGAAAAGAGGAAAGAAGTTATTGTAATCTAATATGGCCAATGTAAAGTGTATCTTGGTTTAGTGTAATTATCTTCTGTGTTTTTTATTTTTTTGGCCTGTTGGTCTGGCTGACAATCTGTGTTTATGATAATTAACTTGATAAGGACTTACAAAAAAATTAAACGAGCTTATAAAAGAATTAAATGAGCCTGATGCTGGAAAAACCCCTCAAAAACAAACAAAACGTGATGGAGGGGAAGAGTGAAAACGGAACTGAGATGTGTTGAGCGTACATGGCAATTCCCACAGGTAGTATGAACTTAGCTACTGCAAACACATGCAAATAAGAAAACAATTGTAAAAAAAGCAAGGGAAATGTTTTGTGGGAGATTAATGTCAATTGGTCTTTTTTTTTTTTTTTGTGGTACCGGGGATTGAACTGGGCCTTGTGCTTGCCAGGCAAGCGCTTATTTTACTGAGCCATCTTCCCGGCCCATCAATTGGTCTTTTACTGTAAGAATTTTTAGTATATATATGTCATCTACATCTGGTATCTTGATTTGTGGACTATGATTATTGAAGGATAATGTATGTGAAGATCAGCAAGTCTATACAGTCAACAATACTTCCTGAGTAACTGAACTTAGGAAAAATGGGGTACACCGATGAATGTCCATTCTGTATCTGTGTATTCAAAGTGGTTGGGGTAGATATATAGTTGCATTGTCTTAATGAATGGAATGATTTGTTCTATTGGTGTTTGTAAATAGGATCACAAGTCCGCATCTTGTACAGCAATTAACCACTAAGAATAATATATGCAGTGTATTATTTGTTGAAACTGTACTTCCGATTTGATTTGAAACTGTCTCATTGCTATATGTTTATCAATAAAACTGTAGAAAAAAAAAAAAAAAAAAAAAAACAATACTTCCTGAGCGCAGGTAGGCTAGGAGTTGATAGACAATGCATTGCGTAGGAATAAGGAGGTAATATACAAATGTTATAAACATGTTAAAAATGGACTGACATACTGGGAAGTGTGGGATAGTGGCAGGATGTGTGATGAGGACCCAATTCAACCTCAGACGGGGAGGAGGTGCTGAGTGAAATCCTCACGGATTTGATAAAATCTAGCGAGTAAGCGGAAGTGAGGAGGTGTTCCAGGGAGAGAAGAGCGTGTGACCAAAGGCTGACAGGCTGCCGAACACGTGAGCTCAGGTGCCCAGGTTTGGTGTGGCTGGAGTGCCACATTTGAAGGGGGAGCCGAGGAGCAAGGACAGGGGAGAGACAGACCTGAGCGAGGTAAATCTGCGACCGCCACGTAGTCGAGGAGCGCCCCTCCTCAAGGGAACCACGCTGTGGTGAGCCCTGTTTCTAAGCTAAGTGAGATAACTTCCTCAGGGGCATGCAGGAGAAGACAGAGGGTGCAGGAAAGGCCAGGAGGGAAGCCTTTACTTTTAAGCAGGACGGTGACGCTTTCAGCCCTTCCTGTTGGTCATGAGCAGCTTCGTGCAGTGGGGCTGGAGGGCAGCGCTCCGGAGCTAAGACCCCAGGCTGGAGGCCGGGCTCAGGCACCAACCACGAGCCGCACCAGGGCGGGGGACCCATGCCTTCGTGGGAGCAGGCCTGACAACTGGCCCATCACCAGAAGGGCCAGCTCTGGTGAGCAGTGGACGTGAGAGCAAGGAGTACGGTGGTCCTGGCCCTCTGGCTGGGGGACCCAGCAGAGGTGGCCTCTGGGACGGGGCAGAAGCCCGCCGGAGAGCCACTGGACTGCACATGGGCCCGGCTCGGAGCCAGCTGGATTTTCTGTGCTGTAAGACATGGGCTGGAGGGGGAAGCCAGTGACAGAAGACAGGAGTTCAGGAAAGACGTCTTGGCTAACCGCCATCTAAGGTAAGGAGGGCAGGCTGACACAGTACGGAGGATGCCCTGCCTGCCCCTTGGCCTCGAGGGAGAGCCGGTGCTCTGCTGTGGCCGGGCTACAGGGACACCACACGGTTTCTCTCGTGGCTTCACCTCGCCCCGCGCATTACTGCTGCCCATTTCACTCTCCGGGACTTCTGTCCCCACTCGGACTTCCTGAGGTAGGTGCTGCGCTTTCTCTCTGCGCTATCTCCTAATCTCAGAAGCCTAGATACATGAGTGGACCCGGTGGGATGGAGAGGCGGGATGGAAAGGCGCAGCAAGGAGTGTGGCTGGACAGAGCTCGTCCATTAGTAACAGATCCAAGGGCGGCCAGGAAGATAGCTCAGCGGAATACGTGCCTGCCTGGCAAGCACAAGGTCCCGAGTTCAATCCCTGGTACCACCAGGACGTTAGCAACAGATGCAGAAGGAAGGGCGCAGAGTCAAGGCACTGGGGTTTTGCTCAGGGGAGCACCAGCGGGGAGCACCAGCACTGCTCCGAAGTCAGGACACGGAAGTAGACAGGAGGAGCAGAGCTGTGGTCACAGCCTGCCTTTGGGAGCAGGCCGCTCACGCCCGTGACCCTGGCCTTTGCGCGAGGCAATGCACTTTCTGTAAAAATGCAGTATTGGTAAAATGACAAGGAATGGTAACGGTGACTGTTCGCAGAGGGCTGCTGGATAATTGAATGCCTCCGGTCCTGCAGAGGACTTGAGAGTGCAGGGCCTGGCGCTGAGGAAACAGCTTTTAGGCTCCCACTAATGCTGTCTTTGAGCTGCCATGATAGGAGTCGTCGGATCATCACGATTTCCTGAGCACACATTCACCACGACGGGGGGTTTGCTACGTGCTGTTACTTTCATGACACGCACGCGTATTCCAGGAATGAGGCTGGGTAAAGCCACAGGGTGCGTAACAGCAGTTAACATTCGAATACGTTGGATTGTAGGGCAAGAATGCCATCACAGTGGGCCAAAATGAAAAACTGCTTTGTTCCCTTTTAAAGACATGGGGAAAAAATAAAGACATGCATCAGATAAAAAATTGGCTTGGTTTTAGGGACAACCAGCGAAGCAGAAAATATTTTGCCAGTGCCGTCCGGGAAGGCACCCCACCGCGAGTACTCACCTGCTGCTTTATAGCAGCTGCGTCGGCTACCGTCCATGCCTGCTTTTTCCTGAACATCTGGCCCAGGACCAGGATGTCCTCTGAGTAGCTCAGGGGAGGGTTGATGGGCTTCATGCCTGCTGCCTGTGGGACAGGTTAGAAGGGAGGTGAGTGATGCAGTTTAGCTTGAATCATTCGAGAAAGACTAAACCAAAAGATTTTGTCTTAGCGTGTTTTGAGAGGGTTTGTGTATGACCAGCAAGGTTGTCGTGAACTGTCTGCTGCTCCGCTGGGAGCCTAGCACAGGGTGCACTTGGGAAGCCCGCTGCAAGAATGATGGTGCCTCCTTGGAGGAGAAGCCCAAGGCCACACGTGGAGGAGGCAGAGCGCGCCACGGGCTGCCACACAGCTCTGAGGCCCACGGAGCTGCCGGGCTCCCTGTTGCTGAGCTCCGTGGGGAAGCCAGCCTCGCTGGTGACGGTCACAGAAACGCACCGAGTCTGCGCTTTCCTTTTTTT